TCCAATCATTCCAAATGAATCATTCCACGCTGTCCAATCCAATCACTCTTCTTCTGCATCCTCCTATTAGTCATTCTACTGCATCCTCCTATTAATCATTCTACTGCGCCCATCCTCTCACTCTTCTGCGCTTCTGCGCCATACGGTCCAGCGCCCATCCTCTCACTCTTCTGCTCTTCTGCGCTTCTGCGCCATACCGTCCAATCCAATCGCTCCTCCTCAGTGTCGTCTAATCACTCTCATGCGCGATTACCTCTCCAATCACTCTTCTGCGTCATCTAATCAAATCAAAATCTTCTCCGTCATCTAATTAAATCACTCTGCACCGTCCCCAATTACTCTTCTGCCCCATCCAGTCACTCTTCTGCACGGTCCAATTAGGGCCTCGCCGCACGGCACAACTAACGAAACGAAACGAGACGAGAAACGGTCACCAGAGTCGCGAGGCCTCACGAAGCCCTGATCCACCGTTTCGCTTCATTTTTTGCCTCACCGCCCCACAGCACACACGAAAACTCTAGCGACAACGCCCTGGCGACAATAGTGGGGGATTCGTTTCACTACAGTCCAAATTTGTGGACACTACGGTCCAAGTTCTTGGATGGACTTCGTTTGGAGCGATGCAGCACACTCCTGAAATTTCGCAGCTCCTCCAGCCTACCAGCGGAGGACCTACGAGTTCGCAAGGGCTGCAGGCAGGGAGGAGTCGGCACACTCGTGAGGCCTCGCGAACTCGGAGGCTGACAGCATTCACGAGTTTTTTCTGACACAGTTCGTGTGGGTGCTATGCGGCGAGGACTTCACGAAACGAAGTCGTTTTTTCTTTCGTTTCTTGCACCGTGCGGCGAGGCCCTTACTCTTTTTCTGCACAATCAGTCCAAATAGCGATACTTTGTGGAAAGAGCCCACGCTGCTGAAACCTTTTTGGTTTCGTGCGCCCAAACTTTTCCTGTTTGGCAAGATTCTCAAGGCCGTCCGATGTTAGAATCTCAAGGCCGAGATTGGGTCCGGACCGTTTGGCCCCTTCCTACAGGTTCATGAACCTGGTGCTATATCTGCGCCAGATTCATTTTCCGGTAGGCCGTCGTTCTTGCCAAATGGGAAAAGTTTGGCGGCACGAAACAAAAAAAAAAAAAAAAAAAAAAAGCTTTCAGCAGCGTGGGCGCTTTCCACCAATTATCCCGTCCAGGTACATTTTCTGCACCGGCCCGAAGCCAATGCCTCTTCCGCACGGTCCCATTGCTCTTCCGCACGGTCCAAATGATCTTCCGCACGGTCCAATTGCTCTTCTGCACGGTCCAATTACTCTTCTGCACGGTCCAATTGCTCTTCTGCATGGTCTAATTGATCTGCGCCCAATTACTACTCTGCACCCAATTACTACTGGTTCAATTCATCTGGGTGCGGGCAATTTCCGGTGCCCCGTCTATTGGGGTGATTAGGTGGAAAACCGCAAACCGATAGGATCATATACGCAAGCTAAAGAATGTACATATCTCAATCACACGCTTCACAACTAGGGAAAAATAAGACAAAAAAAAAAAAAACAGCATAGTGTTCGGTGTTTCCATCACCCCGCATCAGCCGGCAGAAGGAGAGGTTGGCTCTTTTCCAAGAATTCGGTTCAAAAAAAAAAAAAAAAAAAACAGAATTCGGTTCGCTTCTATTTCTCCTCCTCAGCTTCCTTCTCCCCTCCCCCTCCTTCGGCATCACTCGTTCCTCTTCTATTTCTCCTCCCAGCGCTGCATCGACGACACGAGGGAAATACCACCCCCCATCACCACCTCCTCCTTCTCCTCCACCTCCTTTCATCTTCTTATATCCAACACATCGTCCTCCTCTTCTCACCTTCTCTTGCTCCCTTCCTCCTCCATCCTTCCTCCCTTTCTCTCTTCTCCACCTCCTCGGTCTCTGCTAACCCTCCCTCCTCCCTCTTCTCCTTTCAGCTCCTCCCCCTCTCCTCATTCTTTTCCTTTTATCCCTCACCTCCTCGTCCTCTGCTCACCCTCTTCCCTCCTCTTCCTCACTCTTCTCCTTTCAACTCCTCCCCTTCTCCTCATTCTTTTCCTTTCATCCCTCCGCTCCTCGATCCTCGATCATGTGATGATCTTCGCTGGCCCTTCTTTTTTGGTAATCATCTCATCTTCACGTTAACGAGGACTCCTCTTTTTTTCAAAGTCATCTTCTTCTCATTCTCCAGTCATCCTCCTTTCCTACCCGATTCTCAAGCACCTCATCCTTCCTTATCCTCTCTTCTCCCAACCCTCCTCTTCTCCGTATGCTCCCTCCTCTTCTCCGTACGCTCTTGCTCCTCCTTCATTCCTCCTCTTCTGTCCCCGTTCATGCATGCCGTTATCCTCTCTTCAATATCTGAAGCTTCCTCCTCTCAACCTTCCCCTCCGTTTCATTCTCCTCTCCCCCCCCATGCATTTCCCAAAGTCATCTCCTTCTCATTCTCCTCTCCCTCCCATGCCTTTCCTGCCCGATTCTCGAGCACCTCCTCTTTCTCCTCTCTCGTTCCAATCCTCCTCTGCTCCGTCTGCTCTTACTCCTTTGTCCCTGTTCATGCATGCCGTTATCCTCTTCTCACCATCCGAGCCATCCTCCTCTAAACCTTGCCCTCCTCCGTGTCATTCTCCTCCCCCACCTCTCCCATGCTCTTTACTCCAAGTCATCTCCTTCTCATTCTCCCATTTTCCTCCTTTCCTGCCCGATTCTCTAGCACCTCCTCTTTCTCCTCTCTCGTTCCAATCCTCCTCTGCTCCATCTGCTCTTGCTCCTTTTTAAATGGTGCATATACCGTTATCCTCTTCTTTACATCCTCTTTCTCCTCCTCATCATCCTCTCAACCTTGCCCTCCGTGTCATTGTCCTCCTCTCCCGCAGTTTCTCCTCCCTCCTTTACAAAATCCCCGTCCCACTTTCCTGCTGATCCTCTCTCCCCGCCCTTCCTCTCCATCCTTTCACTGCGCTCTTCCAGTCACCTGCTCATCTTCTCGTACTCTCATCCTTCCTCCCTCCCTCCCTCCCTCCCTCCCTCTCTCCCCCCCTCTCCTCTTTTCCTTCTGCAACTCTCACCCTGCTCTCCTCTTGATCCTCTTCCCCGACTTCTACCGCCTTGCCACTCCAGCCTCTCACTTTGCTCATCTCATCTCGTCAGCAGCCCCGTGACGCGACTCCGCGTTTCATGCTCTCTTATCTCCTCCTCCCTCTCCGCTCTCTTATCCTCCTCCCTCTCCGCTCTCTTATCCTCCTCCTCCCTCTCCGCTCTCTTATCCTACTCCCTCTCCGCTCTCTTATCCTCCTCCCTCTCACTTTGCTCTTCTCATCACTCCGTCGACTCCGCATATCATGCTCCTATCCTCCCCCCTCCCTCTCCACCCCCGCACCCCTCGTCCTTCCGCCCTCCCTACCCTCTCCCGTTCTTCATGCTTCGCCTTCTTCTACTTTATCCCTCCGCATCTGTTCTCCTTCATCCTCTCCTTGTCCACTGCTTCTCGTCCTTCCTCCTACTCCTCCTCACCTTGCCCTTCTTGCCATTCTCCCCTCAAACCCCTTTTTCTTCTTGTCCCCCTTCTCCGTTATCCTCGCCTCCACCTCGCACTCCCTGCCATTTCTTCCCTCTCCCCAACCCTCTCTCTATCATACCGCGTTCTCGCCCTCCTTACCCTCCTTACCTTCTCATACTGATCGCCCGACTCCTTAGTTTTTACTGCACTTCAAGGAATGGAATTATTATGTAGAAAAAGGTTCAAAAAGCTCCTTTTACTATTTCTGCGGGGATATATGGCTCTATTCTTTTTAGCTACTGGATTCTCTCACTTCGATCTCCTTGTCATCCATCTTCGCGCTTCTTCTCATACGGCTCCCATTCTCCCTCCCCTCTGCCCCTCCACCTCTGCACTCCATACCATCTCTTCCACTTACCATGCTGAGCCTCTCCTCCTCCTCCTCATCCATCCCTCCCTATCCTCCTGCCATTTTCTCTGCTATATTCTTTCACTTCGATCTCCTCATCATCTTCGCTTCTTCTCATGCTGCTCCCGTTCTCCCTCCCCGCTGCCCCTCCATACCATCCCTTCCACTTACCATGCTGAGCCTCTCCTCCTCCGTCCCTCCCTATCGTCCTGTCATCTTCTCTGCTTCTCATGTTGCCATCTTTCTCTCTCCCCTGTGCGCCCCCTCCACCTCCTCTGCTCGCTACACCTCCTTCGTTCGTCCCCACATCCTCCTTGTCCACTCCCTCTCACCCTTCTCCCTGTACTACTCCTCACTCTTCGTCATTCCCCCATCACTCCCCCCCTCCGTTCGCTCACCTTCGGCTCCTTGTCATCTCCTCTGCCTCTCGTGCTCCTGCCCTTCCACCCTCTGACCCCATTTCTCCTTCCATTCTCTTCAACCCTCTCTTCCGCTGGTCTGTAGTACTACTACCGCGCCCGCCCGCGCTTCTTCTGCCCATCCCTCTTCTACGTGCTTACTCCTACTACCCCCCTCCTCTTTGCACACCTGTCCATCTTGACCCTCTTCTCCTCCTCAACGACCTCAGGACACAAAATGGGCGAGCCCGAACACCTCATTCACATTCCCCTCTTCGCACATGCGCTCTCACCGGAACGTCCTGCTCCCTCCCTATTCTCTTGAAACTACGAGACCAAAACCCATACAGCATAGTTCTGAGGAGAATGCTTCGGGCCAGGGACTGCCAAGAGGACGGGGGGAAGGGGGGGGGTTGGGGTTGCTCCCGTCTTCACCCGAAAACAACGTACGATCGTGATTGCTGTATCTAGACTGAAAGTTGCGCCAAAAACAGCTATAATGATGACCGGACGTTGTATTCCGTCGAAGAAGACGGTAGACCTGCGTCCTCTTCTCCCTCACTCAATGAGCTCCACAGTTGAGACTGCTTTCCAACGATCCTCCGCGTGTTTACTCCTCCTTTCACTCCGTCGCCTCCCTCCTCTCCCCCCCTCCCCCCCCTTCCGTCGTCCTATCTTTTTTTTTATCCTTCCCTCCTTTCACATTCATTCTTACTCCCCTCTTCGACCATCCTCTCTCTTCACAAATTCGAACATAACGCACCCTCTCCTCTTGAAACTAGAGCAAAAAACGTTTTGGGCCTCGTACCGCCGCCAAGATCGGCCTTGTCTGCTACCGTCTTCCCCCGAACATAACGCACCCTCATTCTGACTGTATCTGGCCGGAAACATACCTTGTATACGTTCCTTTTCAGGGTGCGTTATGTTCGGGGGAAGACAGTAGACCCTTTTCCGTCCTCCTACCGTTTTTTGACCCTTCCCTCCTTTCCCATTCATTCGTACTCGCACCTCTTCACACATCCTCTCTCTCTCTCTCTCTTCTCATCTCATCTTCCTGCTCCCTCTCCTATTTAAACGAGACGTCCAAAATGCATATAACAAAGTTCTGAGAATGTTTTGGGCCTCTTACCGCCAACAAGATGGGGGTTGTCCTCTAGACCCCTCCCTTCTTCGCCCTCCCTTAATGAGCTCAACAACCGAGACTGCATTCCAACGATCGAGAACTCTGGCAGCAAAGTGCCTTCAGCAGCGCGGTTTCGTCCCACACCCACATCCACGGCCCGCGCTGTTCCTCTCTGGAGAAGCGCACAAGACCAAGCCGGAAAAAAAGAGAGCAACGCGCAAACACCAATCCGCAGCAATTATTAGTTAAATACATTAAAAGCGCACAACACCAAGCCGGAAAAAAAGAGAGCAACGCGCAAACACCAATCCACAGCAATTACTAGTTAAATACATTAAAAGCGCACAACACCAAGGCGGAAAAAAGAGAGCAACGCGCAAACACCAATCCAACGCCTCAACAATTATTAGTTAAATATACATTACTATAGTTCAGGAAAAGCAAGGAAATTGGAATATACCTTAAACAAGTAAAAAAAAACGGAAGGAAAAAAAAAAAAAAGGCAGATCGTAAGGGAAAATCTTGTTCAGTCTTTTTTTCCTTTTTTTTTTCCTTGCTAATCTTCACTCTTCATCTATCCTAGCAGCAACGAAAATCCACAAGCGAAGGCAAGAGGTACGGGTGTACTACCGTCTTCCCCCGAACACAACGCACCCTCATCTTGGCTGTACCGGACCGGAAATACAGCTTGCATACGTTCAATTTCAGGGTGCGTTATGTTCGGGGGAAGAAGGTAGTACAACCGCAGCAGAGGAGGAAAACAGAGAAGCAAAATAGGAAACAAACAGAGCGCAGAACGTGCGGCTACCGGTAGCGTTTTCACCCGAACAGAACGCCGCCTGCCGCCTGGTGACTAGAGCTGTATTTGTGACAACTTTCAGTCTAGATACAGCGATAATAACCAGGCGGTCCATTATTCGGCTGAAGACAGATACAGCAAG